CATATTGGGTTTGACATGAGATTGATTACGAGTGAATTAATTAAAAATTAATTTAAATCATCATGTGTGTCAAGAGTTGTGGTGTGTAAAAGAGGTTTCATCGTTAATTTTTACATTGGATTGAGAAAAAGTAATTTTGGTAGATATAGATTTTTCAAAAACCTATTTACCCTCCTCTAAATATAGTGTCTTAGTCTCCACGTGTATAATCGTGAGGGAAGATCTATATCAGTTCGCCCTCCCAGAACAATAGACATTAATCAAATTCTAGGGTTTTTCTCAAGAACATGCGATTTTTAAAGTAAAAACATGTAATTCTTTTGAAAATAATTAATAATATCCAAAGAAGTATAAAAACATGATCAATCGATCACATTTACTTAAATAGGAATAAAATATGTATATATTATAAACCCAAACTCTCAATGAGTGAATTTGAGCAAGAATTCCCTACCTTGAATCTATAGTTTGGTGGAGCCAACACTTTGATTCATTTTTTATGCGAAAATCCCTTCGAATAGTCGACGCGAGCCTAATCACTGAAAAAATTGCACTTCGAGCATGATTTGCATTTTAACGTGCCTTGATCGAATGTGACATACATTCAACGTGTCTTGCTCCTAGTAACTCAATTTTGTTGGACACCAAAGTACTATAACTTTACTTTGTTTTTGAACGTAACTCAAATTCTTGTACGAAAGTTCTAATGAATATTGACCTAGTTAGAAGTCGATTGACGAAATTCATGTGAAATAGACTTTTGTAGCTCTTGGATCTAGTTTGTATGTCAAAATTTCAGGTCAATCTAATGTCAAACTAAAAAGTTAGAGGTAAAATAGTAAAACAATATCTAGTTATTCTCTTTCTAACTTCTCCCAATGATGAGTATAAGATCCAACATACCTAATATCTTCTAAGATAACCTATATAACTTATCCCTAACTCATTATTTATATATGCCACACATAGGACTTAATATATATATAGTTATAAATACACAGGGGTCTACAATTCACCCCCTTAAAAGAAAGTTTCGCTGTCAAAACTTACCTCAAATAGAGAATTGGTGTGGGTACTTCTCTCACATCTTTAATTCTGATTCCCATGTAGTTTCCTCTACTCCATAGTGTTGTCAGTACACCTTCACCAATACAATTACTTTGTTGCGAAACACTTTCTCTTTGGTTTAAATAATTCTTACTGATTGCTCTTCATAAGTTACTCCTTCTTGAATTTCAATTGCTGCTAAATCCACCACGTGTGTCGTATTAGGTTCACACTTCCGTAGCATAGATACGTAAAACACATCATACACTCCCAACAACTAAGTGGGGATGTTGACTTGATAAGCCATTTTCCCTGCTACTCGAATTATTTCAAAAGGTCCAGTGTATCTTGTAGTTAACTTCTTTTTCTTGCCAAACGCAGAACTCCCTTCTTAGGTGGCACTTTTAGAAACACAAAATCACCCACCTTAAACTCCAAAGGTCTTCTTCTTTTATCCCCATAACTCTTTTGCCGACTTTGAGAAGTTCGCAATCTTTCTTGAATTAGATGTATTATAGAACAAAGTAACAAATAATTTTGAGTAGGGTGTATGTGAAAATGGGGTGAAAATGAATATTTTAAGGATAAGAGGGACCCTACCCAAATAATAATAATAAATGCTACAAATTGATGATTAATGGTTCTAGAAAATTGATTACAAAATATATCATCCTCATTTTCTTTCTATACCGATGTGATGGGTTTCAGACTTTTCGGCATTATAGTGGAGTTAATTATCAAAATACGACAAATTTAAAACATATATACCGAGATACGATAGTTTTGATCTTATTTATTAAATTACGATAATTTTTTTAAAATTGTCGTAATTTAATAAATAAGATCAAAACTTCTGGTATATAAATTTCAAATTTGATGTACTTTAGTAATTAACTTTAGGGTAAATTGCACAATAATCCCTGAGTTTTACCACTAACTGAATTTTAGCACTTAAAATTTTAATTTTGTCAATTTAATCCTCAAAGTTCAGCTATTGCACTGATGTAATCCCTTGCACTAACTTCTATTTACATCATTGACGAAAAAATAGATTGTGACTTATGGGGGCTCCTCGTAGAAAGCTTTGCGGTTAATAATTGAATAAGTAATCCAATCTCCCTCATGCTCTTTAGTTCATCTTGGTAGAACAAGGAAAAAGCCTTGGCACGTGATTCTATTTAAGGAATAAAGGGTGATGTAAATCATAAGTAAAATCATAAGTAATAAAATTAAATAATTAATATATATATATATATATATATATATTACACACACACACACATATATATAATTTGTAACACAAGAGCTCTTCAAAGGAACCCGACGACTTCTACAGTTGCCCATCACCACAACTAATTCCTGACTCTCTCCATGGTTCTCTCTCTCTCTCTCTCACACACACAGAGTTCATACACACACATACACTACGCATCACCCATCCCCCAACCTCCACCACTACCATGTGACTCCACTCTCCACCATGAGTACTTTCATTTTGTGATTTTGATTTCATATTTGTTTGTAAATTGGATGGGAATTGGGTTTTTACCTGGTAGATTAAGTGATTGCGCGAGAGAAAGTGTGCGTGCGTGTCCATATGTGTATGTGTGTTGTTTTCTAGGTTTGGTGAGTGTTTTGCGTAGAGAGAGAAAGATAGTGTGGTGTTTGTGTTGTTGGGTTTGGTGACTTTTATGAGAGAGAGAGTGTGAGGAGAGGTAAGGAGAAGAAGAAATAGTTTGTTTGGGTTTTGATTTAGAATTGTTCGAAAAAGGAATAAAGGTGTTTGGACGTAGCCTAGGAGTAAGAATTTAATTACCCTTTATATCGGTCACATGCTTAGCATGGGATATTTTTCTCTAATGATTTGGACGGAAGTTAGTGTAAAGGACATTAATGCAATGAGTGACATTTGACGACTAAATTAAGAAAATTAAAAATTTAAGGACAAATATTCAACAATTGGTAAACTTCAAAGATTATTGATGGAATTTATCCTTAACTTCGAGCTAAAAGCGAGTACCAGGCTAATTTATCTACACGCCACTTTTTCTAACACCACGTGCCTCTCACTTTCTTTTGAAGTCCCGCACTAGAGATGGTAGCGGACCAGGGAAAATTGAGAATTCGTCTAAACCCACATTTTTTTGACCGGGGATGGACTATACGTATTGAATGGTGGACGTATATGGAGATACTTGTATAAATCCGTACGAGAATGAAAGCAGGGATGAACTTACCCTTACCCCCGCTCCTGCCCCGTCCCCGATACCCGTTACATGTTTCATTGTATTTTTTTCTTCTTGATAGATAAATGACTTATGCCAAAGGGGTACAAAAAAGTGTTAATAAAAAGAAATAGAAGCTTACTTAAGCCCAATTGAATTATCCTCTAGTTGCATCAAACACACCTTGCCATTATATGTGACAACATGTTATGTTCTGCATCCATTTTGGTCTAGATTGCTGCAGGTTGTTCAAGTGCTTTAATGGAGTAGTGGACCCATTTGTCTGGTTGACAATAATGCATGGTTCTGACATCATTTGATCATGATCATTTGATAATCGTTTTCATGTTATGTTCACACAATAATCACATTTTCTGTCTATAGTAAAAGGCTGAAAAAGGCATGGTTTTTTATTGCTTAATCAATGACACCATAGAGTGATGCAAGTTTGAGTTCCATCTTGATGCCTCATTCCTGTCTAGTCTAGAGATCTACTATTTTATTACACTCCTTTCTCTGGCTATTGTGTGCTATGTTACAATATAGTTGACAATGATATACCTTTTGCATGGGGACGCATGAGTACCTTTTATACGTAACCTCTTCTTTTTATCCTTGAGATTGTATAAATTTTTTCCTCTTATCTTTTATTTAACATGGAATTGCCCCAACTTAGAAAAATGTTCTTTAACTTGAGTGAAAAAGATCTATTGAAAATATTTCACTTGATTTAACTTCGGTAGAAAGGCTTGCACTTGGGTTTGGGCTTGGACGGATATGGAAAAGTTGGAAATTAAAAATTTATCAGCGAACAGAGATAGAAATAAATATTATAACCGTTAACGGGATAGAGCGGCGATAAATGATATTTTTTAAATGGAGATGAATATAATTTTTTTAAGCGGTAAGAAATTAGGCACCCCCGCCCCGATTCGGTACACTTACGTCCCTTTCCCGCACACAGCATCCATCGCGCCTGTTCGATCCCGTTGAACCCTCTCTCCAAACACAAGGAAAAAAGCCAAAAAAAAAAAACATAAACAAAAAAGCATGTCCTCGTCGCTCGGCAACTTCGGTAGTGGCGATGGCGGTGGTCCAGGTGGCGGTGCCGCCCCTCAATTCTACTTCTGCCACCAATGCAATCGTACTGTCACCTTAACCCCTTTGCCATCCTCCGACCTCCTTTGCCCCCTATGCAACGGTGGCTTCATAGAAGAATCCGAACCCAACCCACCAAACACTCACCCTAACCCTAACCCTAACCCTAACCCATTCCTTCCCTTCTCCTCCGACAATTTCCCCGGCTTCCCTATGGTCTTCTCTACCACCTCCCCTGGCGGTGGCACCGGTGGCGGAATGGATGATTTCTCTACTCTTTTTGGCGGTCCCACCAACCGATGGGTCGGTCCCAACGAATATAACCCGTTTGCAGTTCTACAGAACTATTTCAACACCCTTCGAGCCAGTGGGGCCAACATTCTCGTCATCGAGGGGAACCCTTCAGTCGCCGGCGGCGATTCCATGGGGTTTCAGCTTCCGACCAACCTCGGCGACTACTTCGTCGGACCGGGGCTGGAGCAACTGATTCAACAATTGGCTGAAAACGATCCGAATAGATACGGGACTCCTCCGGCTTCAAAGTCTGTAATTGAAGGGCTTCCGAATATAAAGATCACACAGGAATTGTTGGCATCGGATTCCTCACAATGTGCTGTTTGTAAAGATGGTTTTGAAATTCACGAGGAGGTCAAACAAATTCCTTGTAGACATATATACCATAAGGATTGCATTACACCATGGTTAGAGTTGCATAATTCTTGTCCAGTTTGTCGGCATGAATTGCCGACAGATGATATGGATTACCAGAATCGAACTCGAGGAACTCAGCAGATGGGAAGTGGTGTTGGTAGTGGTAATTCAGGTCCGGGGTGGGTGGGCAGAGGTGGTGGTAGTGGTAATTCAGGTACTGGTGTTGGTGGAGGGGGTTCTCAGGAGAATTCTCCTCCGATGTCAAGGACGGTGGAACGTAGGTTTAGGCTACCATTGCCTTGGCCGTTTAGGGCATTTGGGTCGCCTGCAGAGACGAGCAATAGCAGAGCTGCTGGGAATGATGGTGTGAACAATAGTGGAGAATCACATTCAAACACAGGAAGTCACGCTAGAGAAGATCTGGATTGAAGATTCTTGGGTATTGTACTTTTAACGATAGTCTGTGTTCTTACTCCTTTTGCTTTTTTTCTTTTTTGTACTGTATGCTCGTATACCATACAATAACAATGTATTGTGATATGGAAATAACATAAGGATAAATTTTATTGCTTGAATGTATGAACATTATTTGTACTCACTTTTACTTCGTATGTTACAAGGCAGAAATAAGTTTATGCAGACAATAAAAAATCCAACTTATTTAAGGAAATAACTCTTATAACCAGGTTCTGACCAGGTTTTAGTAGAATTGCTGGATTTATGTATATAATAGTGCAATTTAAGCCTCCTCCTTGTTGAGCTTATTGCTTTCTGTAAAGGATGGACCATCAATTTCCCCATCATTTGAGATACTTGGATGAGGTGAGGTTTCATTACATTCTGGTCTTTTCTTGCGTTGTTAATTGCGAGTTCTGCCTGACTTCATTTACCTATAGCAAGCTTCCAAACAAGTTTAGGGCTTTGTTGATGGTTAATTTTATACCTCTTTTATTTGTCTTCGAATTTTAAAATTGATTTCACGGCAGTGATGTTTGAAGTTTGAACTTCCATCTGATACTTATTTTGGCACTGTCAATAAACAAGTACACAAAAAGATTCAGGTATTCTAGACTTCTAGTAGGGCTGTTTGTTTAATTGGTGCTCTAATCTTGTTTATAACTGTGTTAATGACATGCATTTTTCCAAGTGCTTTTCGAGCTTTCTTTTTCTAATGGTCCAAAGCCTGTCAAGAAATGATTGTGGAAATTGGGGCTTAGTTATCCTATCAAATGCCTGTCTTGAAAACCATGCAATTGTATTTGCTGTAAATACAAGAAAACATTCTCAATTTTTAATTTTTAATTGAAACCAAGCAATTGCTCGATAACATTCTCATCATATTTCATGATCAGAAATATAATTTCTCAATTTTCAATATCTAGTTCGGTGCATCTTCTCCCTTAGAGGTATGAACTTATTGATAGAGATCCAAGTTTTATTATTATTATTTTTTTGATAGAAAACAAAACTCTCATTTCATAGAATGAAAGATGTAAAAAAAATTACAGAAAATGGTGGATAAGAAATCCACTCAGAAAACAAAAAAAACAAAGAAAAACTAATGACTACAAGCAACCTTGCAATTAAGTTGCGAAACAGCCAAACGGTTATCACAAAAATCCTTGGTAACCTTTGCCCAAGAGAAGCCACAAATTTCACTCTTTCTCATAAATATTTTTTTCCTCCACCTTTCTTTCAAAAAAATTTCGATTATGCTACAACCAAGCCACCTAGAAAATGGCTAAAGAATCACATCTCCATAAAATGGAAGCTCTTTTACCACGTCCAAATTCTCTAAATTCATCATAAATAGTGAAGCACTTTTGCAAGGTATTACCCACACCTAGGGGTGTTCAAATTTTCAATTGACCGCAATTTCTTACTCTATCTGACCCTACTGAACGGTTAGCCGCAAGAATCGAGTAGGAATGCGGGAGAGTTTTTGGTCTTTCGATTAAATCGGGTAGGAATGTGACCATTAATTTTCACATTCCTACCCTACCCGCATTAATTAATTTATATATATATATATATATATAAATTAAAAAAACCCTAATCTATCGTCTACTGAGTCCTGTTCGAGCGCCTAACACCTCACTCCACTCCTTCTTCATCATTCAGTCCCATTCCCAGTTCTTCTCTCTCTCTCTCTCTTTGAGCGATCTGGTGTGGTGTGGTGTGGTCTGATCGTAGGCCTTTATCTACAGATCTGTGCTTTCTCTCTCTATGCGATCTGGTCATTTGTGGTTTAGACAGATTTGTGCACTCTCTTTGCGCGATCTGGTCATTCACGGTCTGGTTGCACACTCCTTGATTCATCATGGTCTGGTAGCTGTGTTGTTTTTGGAGTACTATCAGACAAAGTCAATTGTAGCTGTGTCGTTTTTTGGAGAAATTCATTCAGTGCAATTGGTTAAACAAATGATGTGAGACAAGCAAAAAACTCATCGTGGGCTTGGCTTGAAGAGTTAGAACATACATGCTGGTGATTTTTATGGACTTATCTGCGTAATACATTTTGGAGGTTCAATTTGGGATTGAATATCGTTCAGTCCCATAACTTATGGCCTTAGATAGAGGTTCAATTTTGGATAAAGTAATTTGGTCGAACATGTAGTTGAAATTAAACATGGTTTTCCAATTAATAGGTCCTATAGCTTGTTAAATTTCGAGGGGTAAACACTGGCTTGACTGGGTTTGCAAGTTTATTGGACTGTTTCTTGTGCTTTCATGACATATAATCGATTGACTGTATCAGCTAATGTGTTTTATATAGTTTAAACTTAAATTAATTGTTGTTGTAATTGTGTAACAATTTTGATGGATTGATGTTATTGTATTTGTGTAACAATTATGATGGATTGATGTAACAATTATGATTGATTGATGTTCATGTTTTCTTGTATATTATTATAAATGATCCAAAAATTAATAGCTACAAAAGTGCTTACCCGACTTCTTACCCGATTAATTGGGTAGGAAGTCGGGCAAACATTTTTGTAGCTATTAATTTTTGGATCATTTATAATAAAATCGGGTAGGAAGTCGGGTAAGAATACCACACCTGATCGGGTAGGGTAGGCCAAGAAAAAGTTCTTCCACAAAGTATCGAGTAGGAATACGGAAGACTATTTCCTATCCGTTGGATAGGGTGAACACCCCTACACACACCAAATCTGTTTCCCCGAAAAGTTTGCACCATAAAAAATGGTAATGACACAATGTTAAAACAGATGATCAATACTTTCACATGTTAAGAGTATTATGGTATTATGTATAAATAGTAGAGGATATATATGTCTTTTGTATTATTACAAGTTAACTATAAATACAAGTAGTTTGTGAGAGGTAGGTTAAGTTTTGACCACTCTCTGTTTCTCTCGAATATTGTGTTAATTCTCTCAACTTAACATAGTATCATAGCGAAACGATTCTAAATACAAATATTAACCTAGATTGTTGAAATTCCCGGTGTGGTTACTGTCGAAGTCCTCGGTGGTGGGGTGGTGTCGTGGTTGTGTGGTGACCCATCATTGTGGTGGTGTGGTGTTGCTGTCGAAGTCCCTCGTCATGGTGGTGGTAGGTGCTGGTTGGGTGTGAGACGTCGTCGACGTTGGTGGTTCCTGGTTCTGTTTAGTGTTGGTGTGGCTGATGTTGGTGGCTTCTGGTTCTGTTTCATGGTGGTGTGGCTGCTGGTCATTGATATTGTTGACATTGGTGGCTTTTGTGGTGGTGTGGCTTTTGTGGCAGTGTGGCGTCGTCTGTGGTGGTTGTTCTCTTGGCGCCGTCGACATTGAAGGAAGAAATAGGGTTTGGTTGAAACCCTAATGCGGATCCTATTCTCAAGCCCAGCCCAAATCCAGCTCCAGATCCAAATCCAAACTAGGATCCAGATTTAGATCCAGGAGGTTTAGCCCAGGTCTAGTAGCCTTCAGACTAGACCGATCCAAGCCCAGTTCAGTCTCGGTTCAATACCTGTTTGATCCGCTCCAGTCGATTCAGATCTAGTTCTATGAGTTTGCAATGATTCAGCCCCTATTCAGTCAGTTTTGCACCGGTTCAGACCCGATTTAGTTGGTTTTTTAGTGGTTCAGATTGGTTCCATCTGTTTTCTTGCCCAGTTTAGCGGTCAGCAAGCCCTTTTTGTCCGGTTTAGCGATCCGGCACCGGATCCTTGTTGGTTTTAGTTGTCCAGTAAGTCCCTTTTTACTATTTTTCACATTATTATTGAACCCAAGCAAGATGCTACCTTTCTTAATCCATCATTGCCACCCATCTCTGCTCTTGCGATTCTCCTTAATGGTTCCATGACTTCTGTTAAACTCAATGGGACCAATTATATTTTATGGTCACGATCTGTTCAAGTTTTTCTTGGAGGCAAAGAATTTAAAAAATATTTGGTAAATCTTAAACTCAAGGAGGATACTTCTGAGTATGATCAGTGGGAACAAGAGAATGCTCAGATTATCTTCTTATTGTTGAATAGTATTGAGCTCAGTAGTAGCGTTACTCTGCTCTATCTTGCTACTACCAAAGATATATGGTATCACTTGGTTACTATGTATTCGGGTATAGGTAATTTTACCTGTACTTATGAGTAGGGATGTCAGTGGACCAAAGCGGGGGAGAGGGATATTGTCTCCATCCTCGTACCCGCTAAAAAAATCTTCGTCCATCCCCGGTCTACCCCCGTTGAAGGGTATATTTTTCATCCCCATCCACCTCCGCATGAAAATTTTTAATCCCCGCCCTTGTCCCTGCTTCCCCCGTACCCGCCTAAGCCCAAGCCCAAGCCAACGTAATCCAAAATTCTAAATAAATTCAACATTTAAAAATCCAACAACATTCTCCAATAACTACTTGAATTTGATATAATTCAAACAACAAATGAAGAAATGTTAAAAATACAAACAACATAACACGATATACCTCATCAAATGTCCAAAATACTACGTAATGGGGAATGGGGAATCTTTTGATATAATTGTCCAACATAACACAACACGTCTTAGCAAATGTCCAAAATAACAAACAAGAAATGTCACTACTTTAATGACATTTAACTTCACACGGTCATGTAGCTTCACATGGTCACTATTCCGCCATGTAGCTTCACACGGTCACACCTGTAATTTAATAAAGAAAATAACACATAAAAAACTATAATAGTTGCATAAAAAATATTTTGTATTTACTAATAAAATTGATTGGTTGAAATTGAAAAAGTACCAACTCAATCATCTCTTAACATCATCGGTGGTGATAAAATCTACTTCTTCAACATCATTTTCCTACATCATTACAAGAAAAAAAATTAGATTCTTCCAAAGAGAAATTTTCAACTTAAACGATCTACCTCATCATCAATATCAAGATCCTCCAATAATGTATAGCTCTTCAGGCCCGTCGAAGTAGATGAACCTAAAAAAAAAAAAATAATGCATTAATCATACTTTACCCCCTAAAAAAATTATGATGCATATACAAATGATATTGCATTAGCTCGTTCTTCAGCACCTAATCAACTTTAAGAGCACATTAAAGCCTGTATTGTAGTTGGAAGAAGTCTATTGCGATGTGGACTGATCACCCTCCCACTTGTGCTTAAAGTAGATTTCGAGGCAACGGTAGAAATAG